ATCTGTCTAATGAACTATTTTGCTGCTGATCATCCTAACAGAAACAGCGAAGTACTCTGGAATTGTGGAAGTAACGTGGGAGAATACCATCCCGTTTTCCTCTCTTCTCACCCTCTCTCCCCCATACACAATACAAGGATTTTTTTTCATGCTGGGAGACAAAAGCATGCCTGGGAGATACAGACCCTAACCCCCGTTTCAGGGGCAGCAGCTCCTTGGACAGTCTGAAGCATCAACACAGAAGCGTAGACACTTCGGCCCGAAGCAACCCAAGCAGCGATTCCCAAAAGGTGACACACTGAAATATGCCAGGATATTTGTGTATGTGAGTGGGAGGACAAGGAGGTCATCATGGATTTATGAAGTGTTGTTTCTGTGCAGCTCACCAGCTCTCTCTCAGTATAACAAAATTTTTGAAAAAACACCTTTCACTTGACTGATGGCTTTATTAATTCCCAAAGACCAGCATTGGAAGCAGTAACTAATAGACTCTGTTGGGAATGGCAGAAAAAATACATGTCAGAATGAGATTGCTACAATCAGCCAGACTGGGTGTTTGTTCAGGGAGTTGGCTGGGAGCGGGGCTGCAGGGGAGTCTTTTACAGCAGCTAGTACTGCAAAGCACAGCTGGCCACTCAAAAATAAGCCTCATCACCAAGGATTTCAAAACAAGTAGGTTCCCAGATGAAACATACAAGGCCTGAAGTTTACCATTATTTATTTATGTTTCTTAAAAACAGTAGAAAGTTTCCAGATTGTTGCCTATCTAGAAATTACAGAACTTCACCAACATGCTAAAATGAGCTCCCATTATTTTTCTATACTCCCTAATTGTGAACATACATACATGGCTTATCAGTGTGATGGTATAGCTTGTACCTCCCTTACTCCATCACCTCTGTGTCACCTTCTTTCATGTCAGCAAATATTTAGATGGTCAGATCTCTGGGGCAGGGATAGCATCTTCTCAGGTCTCCTCTGAGCCACCTGGCAGCTAAAAAACAACAACCAATACTCCCATTGTCTCCACTCTTGTTCAGGCGGTATTAATCATCTCTGGGGTAAGTCACATGACTATGCGGATTTCCTCCACTACAAATTTACTCTCTTCCTTTAATTCTGCCAGCTTTTTCATTTCTCCTCCATCCCACCTGTAGCCCCAGCTCATTCTGCTACTTTTGACTCTCTCCTGCCCTTCTCACATAGGAGCTTCCAGATTTCTTTAATAAGATCTGACATCACCTTCCAATTTGATCCTTGACTTTCCAACTGGCTTCCACCCTGTACACACCAGTGAGACAGAGCTCTCGTCCAGACCAAAATCACAACACTTTTACTCCATCCTCACCATCCTAAGCCTCTGAAAGCCATGGCACCGTTGATTACTCCTAACTTCTTGAATCTTCTCCTCCAGTGGATTTCGCTGCTCCTCTGATGGTTGTTTCACCTTTCAGCTTGCTGCTTTAGCCACCCCTAGTTTCCATACAGATATGTCCCAGTGCTATTCAAACTTTGCCCAACTGGGACTAACACTGAAAGCTTGCTGGAAGGCTGAGGGATGAACCTAAGTTACATAAAAAGAACATTTTACAGCCACTGTGGTTTTTATGAGGCTCAACCCAGAGACTACATGTCCCAGCATGTAATATTCCATCTTGCCAAGCTCTGAGCTACACTTTGCTCACACCAACTAAAAATTTTAGGGTGGGGCCTTTCCATTTGCAGTAGTGGAAACAAAGGAAATCAGTTTTGTTCCTTGAAACAGTCCACCCGAGTCCCAAGCATTCATTGTATTTTCCTAATAATCTTTTCCTGGTTCCCGTAATGACACTGATCAGACAGAGGGGGAGTACTTTTAAAATGAGCTTTTAGCAAAATGTTTATAAAAACTGAAGTTAAATCCTTACTGATTTAAGGAAATCTGTTCTAATTACATTATTTTTTGAACCAGGTACTACTTACTTTTTTGCCGTGTTTACTCCTGATTTTTGTAGTTAATGGCTCATCCTTTAACAGATCACTTTTCCGATAAACATGCCTACCCCTCTTAGCCATATGCATATAAAGCAGCTCATGAGAGCTGGCGTCTACTCTGTCACATGCATCATCAACAGACTTGCCAAATAAATTCCAGCTCTGGAATCTTTATTCCTTGTGATGATGCAAAGTAAGAACCCTGCTTGACTTTCAGATCCTGAGAGAGTCTATTGCACCGGTACTTATAAAATACATCTTTTTACTTGACAATTGGGTACCGTACATTTTATCTGGAGTCACTGAAAGACAAACAGGGATCCCATCAAGGCCGTTTGTGTAGTCACTTTTCACTTACCAGCCACGCTAATTTCAAAAATAAAGGAAATTAGTAACTGCAGAGATTAGCTCACCTGCCACAGGGTCAACAGCTTGACTCAAGTCCTTCACCTCCTTCCATCTTCCTAACAGTCTAGTCCTTTGGAACCAGAAGTTGTAGTTGGTTCATAATTTTTAGGCTTAAGTGGAAACTTTCCCCCATCCCCAAGTGACATATGAAGCTCCACATGAGAAATCACTGTCTCTCAGAATTCCAACTCTCCTTCAAAGAGTGACATTTTAAATCTTCATAGAGATTCACAGACATTTTAGGCCAAAAAGGGACTATTAGATCACCTAGTCTGATCTCCAGTATAAGAGAGGCCATATAATTTCACCACATTACCTCTGTATTGAGCCAAAGACTAGTGTTTGACTAAAGGAGATCTTTCAGCAATATACAAATTGCTGACCTATTTTCAAGTGATATAGGTAGCTTAGGGCGAAAATTTAAGTTTTGTTAAAAAAAAATACAAAACGTAATAGAAATTATTTTTAAATAATCAAAGTAAGTAAATCAGTGTAATTATGTAACTTAAAACTTTCCCATAGCGTACACAACTCAAACACTGCCATACGCTTGTATGTGACAGTGAGAAAACTGAAACTGATTGGACTATTTTCATATACTGGCTCTGAAGACAGTGCAAATTGAACAGCAAAAATAAAGACAGATCTTTTTTAAAAGTGCATATGGCTCCAGTAATCTAAGTGTTTAACATTACTGTAGTGGAATTTACCTTTATCTTTTTGAAAAGACCGTTTCCTTGTAACATGAACCCTGTCAGTTTTGTGGTAGTTTTTGTCTCTCTATTGTTTCCTAAATTAACTGTCTTTCATATGCTAGCAGGCAGTCTTCACCTGTCCCTAATAAAGCTACTCCAAACCAGAAGCTGGAATTCCAGTTTTAAAGGACACTATTCAGAGCTGATTATCCAAATGGAGAAAACCAGGTCTATAAGGCAATGGTATCAATTTATTCACTCTTCTTGGTCTCAAGCTATGAGATTTTATTTTGTAAACAAGTCTCAGTATTAGTTCATGGGCTCAGAAGCAAGAGTTGAACTACAATTCAAGAGATTCTTTTTCAGAGCAGCCAGTGTTTTTTTGTTTTTGTTTTTTTACAGGTAACGGGATGACTTTACCTATTGAAACAAATTTAGGAGAATCATGTACAGTTAATGCAATTTCAAGGGTTAAATCAAAAGCTTAATTGCCACATCATTTGAAGAAGACAAGTAACATTAAAATCTATTTTGTTTCACTATACATCCTGCTAAGGGGACGATTTACCAACTCCCCCTCACCCCCCCAAGTGGAACAGAAATTGATTAGATCTTCCTAGACTCTGAAGTTATGAGATGGAAAAATGGCTAAGTATCCATCCCCACCTGCCACAATGCAGGACTGTTCCACTATTTTTTATTTTTTGCTAAATAGCCAGACTAAAAGTATTTTTTTTAAAACCAGGCCAAAATAAAAAAAAATAAAGATTCCAATTAGAATCTCGTGCCTCTATTTTTTAATATAAATGTTGTGGGCCCCTCCAATTCCTGCCTCACTCCAGCTGCAGCACAGGTTACAAGCTGCCTCACTATAACAGCCTCTATAGAGGCAAAACCAAGAATCTTCTGCCTGCAGAACGTCCCACCGCTGAAGGGAATTTTGTTCTCTTCCTAGCCACCAGGCTTAACTGTTTTGCTATAAGAAGATGGCAAAAAATGGTATTTTAATTTTTAAAAAGTCTGAAGTATCCATGGTTTAAGAGCTATAGCAGCCCTCGTGCACATAAAGTAGCCATGGAGGTTACATTAGCTCACCAGCTCTCGGGGTGGCCTGTAGCTTATTAAGAGTACCCCCAGCCCAGAGCGTACCAGTTCTAATCCAGTGCATGTAAAACCCACCCCAGTTTTAAACCCACCCTAGTTTAACAAGCAACCAGTTAGCAAATGGGAAGGGTATGAATGACCAGCCCCCTCCAGAGTGTAACATTAGTTCTTACAGAAAGATACCCAAGCACATGGCTGCCAGTTTACATCCTGGTAGCAGCTACAGTCCATTGATGATTTGGGTCAAGAGAGTGAGGCTGCCGCCGCCACCTGGATTCACCTCCACAGAACTTTGCGTGCGAGACTGCAGCCAAGCTATCTGTTTAGCTTCGTTCCTTGCCCAGCATCTGTTTTCCCTCTTTACAACTTGAGAAGGAAGAGCCTCTCTTGGCGGTGTGTAGCCATGCATGTCCCCTTCCCCTCACAGCAGGATTCTTACTGCTGACCATCTCACAGCTCCGCCATCTTCATTAGTCCCACTCGTGTGAGGGAGAATCCCCTCCCTCTCAGTCAAGCTAGGGGGCAGCATGCCTTCTCTGTCCCACTGATGTCCAGTCCCCCGCCTCAGCCTTTCTCAGGGCCGTTGGTTAGTTTCCCCTCAATCCCAGGAGAATGGGGGTAAGCCCCTTCCTTGCAGCGACAATGGATACAGAGATTGGTCCCCCTGCCTCTGCCCCATGGGTTGGGGGGGGGGGGGGGGGATCTGCTGATGTCAGGGGTAAGGATTAGCCCTCCAGTGATGTTGCTGGGAATTATCCCCCTACATTCCATGAGTAGGGAATAGCACCTCCCAATGATGTTTAGAGTGAGGAATAGCCCTCAAGTGATGGCATTTTATGGGGGGTTATCCCCCCTTATTAGCCCCAGGAAGTAGGCTTACCCCTCAGTGACAGGGGGTAGCCCCAGAGGGAGGGACATCTGAGCCCCACGAGGTATTAGACCCCACTCCCTAGCAATGATGGGTGGGGGGGTTGGGTCCCCCATTGTCAGTCCCATTGCAGAGTGGGGTTAGTCCCCATCCATCCCATGGGAGTTTGGTGGGGCTACACCCCCAAAGGTGCAGCAGTAGGTGGCTGACCAGCTCCAGTCCCCCTCGCACCCCCTATGAGTCTGAGCTACCCCCTTGGTGCAGCCGCTGGGCCATACTAATGAGGGAGCGGAGCTGCACCAACTTGAGTGGTCCCACCTGCCGGGGGTCCTGGCTCTCCAGCCAGCGTAGCGCTGTCTCCAAGCCCCTGATGGCTTCCCGGGCCGTGGGCAGTGGGGGATCCCCTCCCTCCTCCACTCCACTGCCCCCCCCACCGCCTGCATCCACCCCTGCTACCTCCTCATCCTCATCCCCGCCACAGCCTCCAGGTCCTTCATCCCCACCATCCCCTTCCCCATCCTCCCCCTCCATGCCTGGCGCCGCATCGTCCAGGTGCAGCCAGTCGGCCACCTCCTCAGGTGCTAGGCGTTTATAGGCCAGGGCAGCCAGGTGGGTGAGATCACTGAAGACCTTGCTGTCCCCACCCAGTGGTTCCCCCTGTTCCTCTTCCCCAGGCTGGGGCTCAAAAGCCGCACGCAGCCCCAGCAGCCAGCACTTCTCGATGGAGCCGGCAGGGATGAGGTCCCAGGAGAGGCCAGCCAGGTATAGCATGTCCTTGAGCAGGAAAGAGCGCACAAAGTCCAGGGGGCCACTCCCACCACCGGCTGGGCCGGGCCCCCCAGCCGGGCCGCCTCCCCCACTGGCCACGGCCAATCGCAGCAGCTCCCGCTTGTAGAGCTGCTTGAAGGCGGACACCACGCCTTGCTCCAGCGGGGCTGGGATACGGCCTCCCCCTCCAGCCGAGCTGCCCCCTGCCGCAGCCTTGGAGAGGAAGAGGGCTCGGATGGAGCCATCTGGGGTCTGCAGCTGGGGTGGCTCCTCTGGGCCAGCACCGGAGGGTGGCGGGGGGCTGCTGAGAAGCAGCACCGCCTTCTGCTGGAGGCAGCTGCGGCGCAGATAACGCTTGACTCCTGGCACAAAGTCTTCAAAGAACCAGGCCCGGAGAAGGGCAGGTCCGAGCCGGGCCTCGGGGCTGTAGCGGTAGCAGGCTGGGAACTTGTCCTGGTTGTGGTGCCGGAGACTGGGTGGGTCTGGGAGCCCCCCGACCACCAGCGGTTTCAGCTTGTGCGAGCCAGTCAGGTTGGCAGCCAGCAGCACGGTGACGCACTCCTTCACCACCAGCCTCCGACGGGGGGGAGACTGCAGGCGGGGGGAATGGGCCCGCAGCTCCCCAGCCTGGCCCGGCAGCAGCTTCCAGTAGAGTCCGGTTACATTGGCGTTGTAGATCTGCTCGTCCCCGTAGCCTCCCCCGTCCGAAGGAGCCGCGGCGGCTGGAGGCGGCGGCGGCAGGGGCAGGAGCAGCGAAGGGTCCGGGAAGGCGGAAGAGGGGGCCCCGGGCTCCAGCTCCGCCTTGAGCGGCGGGGTCCCCGGAGCGGCGGGGTCCCCCCCTCCGCCTCCACCGCCTTCGCCGTAGATGCGCTGGCTGGAGATGCCGTGCCGTTTCTGCCAGCGCCAGAACCAGCCATGGCTGGCCTTGAAGGTGCACTCGGGCCCGTAGATCTGGCGGGCGAAGGCCTCGGCCTGGGCTTGGATGATGGGCCCGGAGAGCGGCACGCCGTGCTGCCGCAGGGTGAGGAACCAGGTGTAGACGGCCCGGTCGATCTCCTCCTCGTTGGCCAGGCGCATCTTCTTGCGCTGGGTGCCCACCTCGCCGCCCAGCTGGTCCAGGAACCAGCGCAGCTTGTGCTCGTCCTTGAGCCAGCCGCGCAGCGTGCCGCCGGGCACCCCGAAGTCCCGGCACACCGAGGCCTGCCGCTCGCCCTTCTTCACCCGCTCGATGGCCTGGAGCTTGTCCTTGATGGAGTAGGCGCGGCGGAAGGCCATCTTCACCGACAGCCCCCCGGGGGCCCGCCCGGGGGGCCCCCCGCCCCGCCGGCACCGCGCCGCCGCCCCGGGCTCGCCCAGCTCCAGGCACACCGGGGACGGCTCCCTGCTGCCCGGCTCCTCCAGCTCCAGCGGGCTCCGTCCGCCCGGCTCCACCGGCGGCTCCCGGCGGCTCGGCTCCTCCCGCCCCGGCGAGGCCCTGCTGCTGCTGCCGCCCGGTCGCCCCCGGGGCCGCCTGGAGCCCGTCCCGTCCGGGGAGCGTCTCCGCCTCGGCGGCTCCCGCAGGCCCAGCGCCGGGGGGTCCCCGGCGGCCGGCGGCCGCAGCAGCAGCGCGTCCTGCCCGCAGGCCATGCGGGGGGCTGCCCG